CAGTCGTGCGAAAGCAACACAGACCTGCCACCAGGAGGCGACCTACGGGTTCGCACACTAACCCTAGATGGACTCCGCGGTACCGGTCAGGAGAGCGATGACGGTGACGAGACTCGTCACTGCGCCAGTCTCTCCTGGAATGATGATCGTATGATGGTGACTTACTGCAGAGGATCTCGTGATGATCACCTCTGCAGACGCGACACGAGGGATAGTGACAGGAACGAGACGAGTGACGATGGTGTAAGCACCTCCAACAGAGCTCACGGAGCTGGACGATGGTGTGTACAGCGACTGGCGCACCAAGGTGAGACCGAGTAGAACTATGATTCGGGAATCGCAAAAGCAACACCGCGTGAATGGTACGAATGCCGAGACGACGAACGATGGCTCGAATGCGCTGCGAATAGGAAGATTGCCGCGATGGACTGCGGGAACGAGATGTATTTACAGAGAAGCTGTCAGTTAACGTGGTGGAGTCTTCGTACTTCTCCTTGGACGAGATGATATGGTCGAGTTTCTCCATGACCTGCGTGAGATCGAAGTCGGAATTAGTCTGAAACTCAAGATCATGAAGCTTCTGCTGAATTTCTGCAGGAAATTTGCTCTTGACTAGGTCAAGAATCGGCAGAACTCTGCTGAAAATCTTCATAACGTCGTAATCCATGGAGAATACCGGACACACGAAACCAGGTACTACGAAGATCTGGGCCCGTATTTCGAGCTACGGGAAGCTGCTGAAGCTGCTTGTGAAGGGTAGCTCGCGTCCGATAAGGACGGTCGTACCGCTTCTTAAGAGCCTTCACCAGCTCCGCGTAGTTGCATTCCTCCGGGTCGAGATCCTGTAGTACTTGGGCATCTCCTTGAGCAAACCCTGTAAATACAGGAGTTTATTTTAAGCGGCGTGTTTTGGTCACTGCGAACGCAGTTCGAAGGCACACCAAAACCTACGAAACTTGTGTGATGTCTCCCGTGAATGGTTCCAATGCGAGCTTGCCAAGCTGTACAGCTGGCTGCGCTGGCATGGGACCAAACAGGGGGACATCTGGCCCTACGAACTGTGATTGCCATAAGGCTGGCGAAGGCCTGGATGCATCGAAATACTGCTGTGACTGCAGGAAGGATTTACGCATTAGACGCGGCTGCAGGATCTTCCTGTAGTTGTTCTTGAACTCGTACAGGAGCATCCTCAACTGTTTCATAGAGAGCTACGGATGGACTGCTCTCAGCGAAGCGCTCCTAGCTTCTTCTAAGCCTGCGCAAAGAGACGCTGTGACGGATTCGGCTGCGACAATACCTCGTGTATGCGAATTTCTTGAATACATTGCTGGTGCGCTTTGCTTTCAGCGTCTGAACTTCAGACGGCTTTGCAACGAGAGCTTCGAATGCTGAGCGCCGCTCTTTTAACGACTGCGCGGATCTGTGTCAAATGATGTTCTAAGGAAGCTTCGCGTTTCAAGCGTTGACCGCAGATCGCCTGCACTCATGCTTTCGGTGAAGTAAGGATGCGGGTTCTTACCTTCACGGCTTCCCATGCGGTGACTGCCTTGGTCATCGCGCTTTATACGTACCACTGGACGTTATTGTGAGCGCTGGCAAGGAGGTGGTAGCTGCCGTGTCCTGTTATAAACTGAGGAATATGCTAGACCGTGAGCAGCTATTGGCCACTAGCTACCTACGGCAGGAATATAGACTAAATATGCGGTATGCTGTCCAGGCAAAATGATGCGACAAAATGAGCACGAGTAAGTGCGCCAGCAAAAAGACAGGTATCAATCCAAGAATTACATAAAAGAACGAAAAAACAAAAGAAAGCGGAGAAGCAATAGAGGTGAATAGGAGCGCCGCAAGCGAGCAGACTTGGTTGACATCGATTGCTATGTTAGCGCCTACGCCTCGTAGCTGAGGCCCTGGTACATGAGTTGCGGTCAAGGGCTCAATTGCCCGGCTGTCGGCTACCCAAGTTTACATTCAGCAACATGCCCAAGAGGGGTTACCAGAATGCTTTTGACGGCATACATCATTCCTCCGCCCCACCTGTACACAGTCAACCATGGCTCGACGTATCACGGCTTTTCCCGTGGTGCGGCTGTGCCACCCAGCTGACACGGGTAAGAGATCACGGTCCCACATGAGCGAGAGAGGGCAGTACCCCTTTAGCGTACGTAGGGTAAATGAGCAAACGTGTCAACCAAATGGTAACGCAAAC